GCTAAAGGTCCGCGCCTTTGTTGTGAACTTTTGTTGTGAGCTCTTTCCTAGACAAGTATGGCATACATTATGTGCTCTTTAAGATTAACACCGCGATCCGTCCTGGAGGATATTCACCGAAAAATTATGCCAATTTTTCTAACAACTTTGATCCTGATTAGACTTCTTTTTAGTCTTTGTTTCCATTCCTGCTATCCGAGTTATTCTTTACACTCCCCCATGATGACCCTAATAAGCCAATATCAATATATTCTTGGTATCGATATTATTCCTTCACTTTTCACCTTTGAAATATGTTCATGATTGCTAACGCAATTGCCATTCAGGACACCGCGCGGCCACCTTGGTGGCAAACAGACGTGTGCAAGCTTGGAGCGGGTGCTCCAGGTGTCGGTGTTGCTTTTGAGAATATTGACTTCATCATGTGGATGGGAACATCTGCGCTACCGCATTTTCGGAAAATGTACAGGATATTGGATAGAGAGGTATGATGAATTTGTTTTCTTGTGGCAATCTATCAATTGAAAGCGGCACATTTATCTCGAGAAAGTTACCCTTATTTCGGAAAACAAAAGAGCGTCGAGTGCAGACCACACACCACAAGTGACGACGGCCAAGAAAAAAGTGGCTTTTTCTTTTCTTTTTCTTGGCCGTCGTCACTTGTGGTGTGTGGTCTGCACTCGACGCTCTTCTCGTTTTCCGAATAGGAGTGAATCAGTTTCGTTAAATGAGATTTTCAGCTTCGATGGCTTAGTAGGCTTTATATGAGCTTAATAAGCTATAAGAAATCATGCCCACTGAATATTTGAAACCAGCTTTTTCCTTAAAATTCGATTTCTGGTTCAGGTGGACGGTTTTCGCGATGGACTGCCGAGTGGTATGTATACACTGGTGATAAACTACAGTAAGTTAGCAAGTTCTAATTAGAGATTTGCAGCCTCTCGAAAATTTAATTCTATTATAACTTTACTTTTACCGAATCCTTTAACCCTTTCTACTTTTTGTTTCAGATTTCAAACATGTTTGTTGAATTTCTGTGGTTCAAGTTCCGATTGAACTATTTGGCCTTTTTTTTTAGATTTTCAATTGCTCATTGCGAATGCAGTCAAGCAAATTCAATCCAGCAGTTACTTCGCCATATTTTTTTGTGTTTCCAGCCTCTTTTGAGATGTTGGCATAGTCTTTGTGGGCACTCCCCGATCGAATAGGAGCGGGCTACTACGTCCGAAAATGAGAGTGTTAATGTCATTCTATGGTTGAACAGTAATAAAGTTAGCAAAAAGAATCGCCAGAAGCTCATAAGACCACTTTTATGTGCCAACCGTGTGGAAGATCACCTGCTCTACCTCTACGTTCTCAGTAGTCACCACTTCATCTACATTTACTGTGATATATAATATTTCTATAAAGCGGCCCGCTTTCCAATGGTAGACCAAGGGCCGGGTAGGATTTCACCATTGGCTCGCGATTCGGTTTTAGGGGTCTC